CAGTACGGTTCGATCGATACACAACTCCCCGAAGGAAGTAGTTTGCTGTCGTAGATATAGTTGGCTATCAACTGTATGCGACTGTCGTTTCCGTGTTGAAAATCAGAGTTCATATACATCAGGGTTACCCCATATAGAGGATGTCAGATCATGCATTAATACTCATCGTTAAGCCAAGTCTTGGTATAATACTATAACACAACACAGTGAATAAATCAGTAGTACTGGTCATGCAGTAGACTAAGTACTATCAACAACCATATCATGTTTGTAGTTTCCAAAGATGAGGCAGCCCCCGTACATCTACTCTCGGGTGGGGCTTGTCCACTCTGAAGTAGATAGGAACCAACTGTTGTTAGGTAATATGCACATGGTCAACTACATGTGTTGGTGAGAATATGAAACTTCTGAGAAAATTTTGGAATTTTTTGTTGGTTTCTGTACACTTCTACCCGAAAATTAACGAGGAAACTGCCAAGCTCAGCTCAGGAAAGCGAACATGTAATCCTCCAGTGTTGTAACAACATGTCATACATGCTTTAATGAGATTCTGAAGAGTAGATTTTGCTGTTAAAGTATAGCTCAGTTTCATCATGCGCTCGGGTCTCGAGATGATAAGACTATCACGGAAAGATCGGCGAACCTGCAGGGGCCATCCGGTTGAACACATCGCCTCTGCGGTTTTTTCATCAAATTTGCAAGCCTCGAAGTAGTGCAGACAGTCCGTAGCGCAAAGGTCGTAGGATTCATCTTTCATAGTCGATGTGGAAGAGGAAGCGTTGCATCTGAATCACGAGAGAGCAATCACAGATGCTCAGGATACCGACTCGCAAAGAGCCCCGTCCCCACCACTTTTTATAGCTAATGAGTCATGAGATCTTTCATATACTATCAGAAAGCCCTTTTCAGGGTCTACATAAATTCACAGTGTTTTAAACAGTTTTGTTTACTGACTTCGAAAAATGTTCAGCGTGGTTTGTTTCCTTGAAATGCACTAAAATGTCTTGGCGCGGTTTTCATATAATATGAATAATATATAATCGGCTGCAAATGGAGGTAGGATCCTTCCAAAGTCGGCATAATCGTTGCATGATCCAATGAGAGGGTTACGACTATACTTGGGAAAGTTAAGACGACACACTGCTGCTCGAAAAGCTTCCACGCAAGGTATATTCTGACTGAATCGAACCTGACTGAAAATGAATAACAAACAATCGAGGTATTCCATGCCAGTGTGCAGATATGGTCAACTACTTGGGGACAAGATGAAAATTCTGAGAGGAAATTTTTCATTGGTTTCTTAACACTCCCAACAGCTATGTCACCTCGACGAGCTCCTCCCCAGAGATTTCCCGTGCGATTCTCTCATCGATTTCCTTTTTAAAATCCGATCGAATAGCCGCGTCTTTGGCTGTAACATCCCACTCGGGCCACAAGGGCTGAGGGAATGAGCTACTTCGGAAGATATATAAACTCTACATCGCCGATAAAATATGTGGATGAGAACAATTTTTTCCGAACGCGCTTATGGAAGTACTTGGGTATCGACTCGAAGTCTTCTTTTTCGAATCACTACTATCTGAATGTGTTTTTCTACTACGTTATAATGAACTGTCAACTCTTCGAAAGTAACAATGAACTGAACATTCGTACGTTAGTAAGTGCGAGGTGATATTCCATAGTAAGAATCATCTTGTTACAGTGTTGGAGTATGAATATATGTAATCGCTTCCCTCAGTTGAGCTCATGAGTTTCCTATACAGTGTTGGAGTATGAATATATGTAATCGCTTTCCTCAGCTACTGAGCTCATGAGTTTCCTATACAGTGTTGGAGTATGAATATATGCAACCGCTTTCCTCAGCTGCTGAGCTCAGGAGTTTCCAAAGTAAATACGAATCCAGGTAGAAGTGTACAGAAAGCAATAAAAGTTTCCTCAAGATCTTTCATATTCTCATCAACACATGCAGTTGACCATGTTCATATCTCCTCACCTGTTGCGGCGGTATACAAGCCTGATAATATACGTAGTCTGTACAGAAGGATATACGATGCTTATAATAAGATGGTGCAACACAAACACCAGTGTACCTCCCAAAGACGTTCAATACCATCACACGGAACATTCTCGAGATCCTCACATGCCCGAACCAACGGGAAGATCACATGCAGGGAATTCCGAATCAATAGAGCGCTCGAGTGGGGTGTATTGGGTCAACGACACTGCCTTGTAAAAGCCGTTGTCATCAAGTGAATTTCCTGATACAATCAATAGAGTTCGATGCATCGAGTTCATTCAGCCGACCTTCTGCATCATCATGGTCCTCAGTTATCTGACACTCTACTGAGTATGATAGTAATAACGTTACAGGGAGAAACTTCGTATTCATACGACTACAAGGCTTATGAATTTCTCCAACTGAAATCATCGTCGCCGAGAAGCGCCAAGCATAGACGCTTTCTCATAATTTCTGTTGCATGGAATTAAAAACGACTTTTCCCCGAGTTCGCGGCGCAGATGCTCATACACTGTACGTCTTAGCTCGTTGCAGTAGCACTACTTCAACGTATTCGTGTGAATGTATGTTAGTATGTTATCGTCGGCGTAGTTACACTCAGAGTTTTAATAAGGAGTGTATTTTTTTCTTAGGAAAATTCAAAAAATCTGTGTTTCTCGTTAACGAATAAGAGTTTTGAGCTGAAACTTCAACAGGATATAGTTATTATCATGATACATCACATGTTGAGTTTGTTGAAGCAGCTTATTGTCATCTGGGCACCCACTGCGAGAGGTAATCAC